CTGTTACACAGGGGTAAGTGGTCTGCCGATAGTTGCTTTCACCGGGCTTCAACTAGGGTTTGCAGTAGATGGAGGTCAGAACACCCCCAGTTTGGAGAAGTAGACAGGAGCACTGAAGCTATAAGCAATATAGTGCTGTCTCCTTTTCCAAACTGGGGGTCTACTGTGGGTTGTACACTGACAGACTACATACAACCCCACTTCACTCATCCACTAACAGTATATGAGCACAACACTAAGAGACCAAAATCAAATAGCTTAAAAGTAGGAGAAAAAAAATATATAAGTATACATTTTACAAGAAAAAAATTACACTACAAAGTTAAAACTGGAAACTTCTTTTAACAAAATAATAACAGAGTTTCCACTAACTGGACATGCATAGATGGAGACATACCATGTAGGTGTGGTCATGTATTTCCTGGCTAAGAGTTCAAGGCAGTATGCAGTGCTCTGATTGGCTGCCTCTCCCAGGCTGAGTCCGACACATGCAGCCAACTCCAGCTCATTACCTCGGATGAGGCTGGACATGGCTAGCTAAAAACATAACACACACATGCACACACATTTCAGACACATTTTTTGTCTGTTTTCTGATCATTATCATGAATGATCAGTAATGCTAAAGGAGATGAAACTGCATCATATTCTTTATTTCAGGGCACATTACATATAGAAACAAATATAGTGTAGGTAATAATGGTGATATGCACTGACTCTGGTGTGTACCTGGACGTTGTCCACAGCTAGGTGGCAGCATGCAGCAAGGACAGAGCATCCATCCTGGAAGTACCACTCAGCTAGTTCCTTACACACCTTATGGAGGAGACTGGACGGGGAAAAAAGCTAATAAAGCCAGGGATTGTGCTCAAAACACAGCAGCCCACATATATCCTGGGGTTAATTTCAGAGATCAATCAAATTAACCTAAACTTTTATTAGCAAGAATGACAAGCTTATTTTGTTTCTTACAAGACCAAAGCAAGAAGCAGTGTATTTAGACATTTAGCCATTTTGGCAAAAAGATTAGTGTTTGGGAATATGAATGAGCAAAGTAGAAGAAGTGCTGTAGGAGTGGTTTAAGAAGTTATTATTGGCATTTTGAGCCACTGTGAAACCTGATAACTACTGGGATGTATTGGAATCACAGCTGACTACAGCTTCTGTTCTACTTGATTAAGAAAAACTACAAAGGTTTGGTTGGAGAACATTTGGACTGTTCAGCTTTCAATTGAATGTTTCTCTTTTTTTTCTCATGTGCTGTTTTCCATGCTGAAAATAATAATTTGACAGAAGTAATCCCTAATAATATTGTTAGTAAAAAAGACCGTATTTAAAGGTTGTCATAGTGACATCTGCATTATAACTATCCTACCTGTTGGCTGCTAAACTACTCAGTTGTTTGATTAAATCTGTTTCAGTCTGAACCTATGTGTACCGGTGTGTCAGATTTGTTCTGCCCATTTTGATCAGATCAAAACATACACAACAAAGCTAAAAAAATAACAGAATATTATCCTTGGTGTGTGCGTGTGTGTGTGTGCCCAACCTCTGGTATTGTTGTCTGTTATCCACATCATTAGTCGTGTGGTTGACTGGAGAGCTCTGAGGTGCACGAATGTTCCCTTCACACGCTCCCTAAAAGTAAAGAATGTTATTATTTTATTATTTCTGATTAATATTATCACAAGCATCAAAATTACTGTTCAATGCTTTCCTCAACTCTCTGTCTTTGTCCCGTTACTTAATTATCCACCCCTCTTCCTCCTCATGCACCCATCTGACACTATTTATCATCATCTCTGTGTACCTGTGCTATTATTAAAGCTTCCAGCAGTTGTCCTCTGCCAGTGAAGAAAGTTACAAGTTTTTTTATGTCTCCTGTGGCGATGCAGTATGGGATAGAATCATCATTATCTTCAGCCATCAGCTGGTCAGCTCTCCTGCGACATGAGCATGTTAAAATGACATACATAATTATTATTATTCAATAATTATAATTATATAATAATTCTTATGCTATTATACACCATGCAACACATTAATATACAAAAATGGGTAAAACTGAGATGACAAAATAAATAATCAAACAGTAAGACAATAACTAACAATAACAACAGAACAATTTAAAGAGCTTAGTTTGCTTAACAGACACTCCTGAAACACAAAGCTGTTCACATGGACTGCAGCACACATTCTGTGATTCTTTTTTACATGTTTTCATTTATGATTATTCATGTTCTAATGTTATTTAGGGGCTTCCTATTGATCTGCTGCATAATTAGCAGCTGTGTTCTTTGTTTTGTTTCTCTCCTACTATGAAGCAATATTCTGAGTTCCCACTGTTACTGTAAAAGGTCTTTAGAGTAAAAAAAAACACATTTAAGTGAAATCTCGTTCTAATAAATTATACCTTTTAGAAAAACAACACAGAAAACAAGAAGCCTTCCAGGCTTAATACCCAAGCATGGGGGGTTGGACACAATAGACCCTTTTCAAGGCAAACATTGACATGTCACAACAGGAAAAGTACAGGTGTAAATAAAAACATTAATCAAGTTTGCGTTCCATTTAGGTGTGCCAGTTTCAGGGCTCTGCCAGTGTGCATGCTGTCTCACTGGCTCTGCTTACTGAAGCCATCGTGAGTGTTACTAGTAACAAAGCAACAACAACACAACATAATGCAGTTAACAACAACAGTAATATAAATACTACCCTTTGTGAAGAGTAGTAGTGTTTTTTGTTGACACTGTGTCAGTAATGGGTTTGATTTAACTCTTAAACATGGTTTACCTCTGCATGAGTTTCTTCCAGTACTTCATGGAGACTCCTGGTGCCACAGATAATGCTTTCTCCCACTGAAAGAGAGATAAATGTCTGATTTGACATCTTGTCAGTGCATTTAATGTTTTTTGAAATCTTGTGCAAAATATTTCAATAGACATAGGAAAATAAATCTCTATCGTGCATCCCTAATAAAAATGCTCACTCCATAATTTTCTTTCTATTAATTTCTGTTTTGTCTTGTCTCTGATAATAGAAATATAATAATTACAGCGACTGCGACCAACAACCCATTTATTAAAATGTGATCTGTATCCAGACACATAATCCAGAAAAATGCATGTTAATGCAAGGTGTAAATGCGTCATTATCATTAAGAAATGTGATCAAATCTGCCTGACCAGACCTGGAGGGAGTCTGGCTTTGGCATTGCGCGTGAATCTTAGGTAGGTGTAATCCATACAACATGCTGGCATCCGTACACAAAATAACTGATACAGATAGTATATGTATGAAATTTAGGTTGTTGTAATGCCTCTAATTACTGATTATACGATTATTCTGTGCCATGAAAGTGGCAAAAGATGTGTTATTCAACAGAACTGTGTGAAAAAATTAGCTACCAATCAAATTACTCACATTGATTTTGCTCTGGAGGACAGAGATCCAATCTCAATGAGCATAACAAGAACGCATTAAAAAAACAGATGCAAAGGCAAGATTGCATTTTAATACCAGTGTAAATGGGGTACAAATATACTTCAAGCTAAGAACTGGCTGTTTTGTTA